ACAAGTTGGCGAAAAGTGATGGTGATTTAACGTTTACAGCCGTCAGGCCGCAGGTGGTGAGCGCATCACGATCTCCGCCGAATGGAATTTCTACCTTGCCATGTAGACCTAGAAAGTCACGCCCGAGTAAAACGTCGGTTCAGAGGTTTGGTATTAGAAAGAGCTTCAGTTCATTGTATGAGGTATCTTTGTATCGGACAGAACACAAGCATAACCAGTCGTTTGACAGGATAGGGATGTAGACGCCATTGTGACGACTGAGAAAGCTGGGTAAATCTTCCAATTATGCAGTTTCACGACCTTGGCGTAAATGAAACTGCAAGAACTCCCTGTGTCGACCAGAGCACGGAGAGTGATGCCATTGACTTCGATAGTTGCGACGGCATGCGCCAGGCAGGTAGGAGCTGCTGCAACGAATAATGACGATAAAGTAGGCTTTGTTGTACAACTTGTGTGGAACTTGGAGGTATTTTTTGAATGGAACACGCGGCGGAAGTGACCGCGTTTACCACAAAGATTGCAGACGGCTTCTCGAGCGGGGCACTTTGGACGAGGATGTGCATCATAACCGCAGAAATAACATGTCTGAATGGATTTTACAGCAACAGTGGTCGGATCAAGACGCAATTCGGGATTCTGTGAAATGGGTGGAATCGTAGAGCAAGATATGGGTTCGTCACTAACATATGACTGTGACTGTTTGTGAGCCAATTCGAGGGATCTAGCCAGCTGATATGCTTGGTCCAGAGTGAGTTCGCTCTGTGCTAGAGGTTTATCGCGGATGGATGTGGACGCCAGGCCGTTAATTATAGCATCCCGCACGCACTCATCTTGATATTCAGTTGCAGACAGATTTAAATTCAGTCTTTGGCTAATGATTTCAGTTTTTGTACGAACTGATCGATATCTTGTCCACTCTCCTGCTTGTAGGTCTGTAGCAGGTAGTGTGCATATATGACATTTTTCGGACGGACATATAATTTCCGTAACGTGTCGATTGCAGATTCATAGTCGGTGCGATCAGCAATGTGATCGTATACTAACGGATCCACAAAGTGGATGAGAGTTTCAAGTTTGTCGGGTTTAGAAGATTCGACAGTTTTCAGATAGGTTTCGAAGGTAGGAAACCAGTGATTCCAGCGTTTTGCTGCATCTGCAGAGTTTGGGTCGGCGTCGAAGAACCGAGGTCGTGGTTACGGGTCCATTGTGTTCTTAGACAAGTAAATTGAGACGTTTAGAACGAGTCCGAGAACGAGTTAGAACAAAGTCCAGGTTTTTGAGGATAAGCAACGTTTTACTTGTCTAGGAACAAGCGTACATGAGCTGAAATATACATACAAAGGTCCAGAGTATGTATATGTGGTAAGTATTAGAATAAGCACACAAAAATCACGACCGCCAGACGATCAACCTGCTCTCCGTCATGCGTCCGTCAGAGACGCCGTGTACATGAGCTGAAATATACATACAAAGGTCCAGTACGAGTATATGTGGTAAGTATTAGAATAAGCACACAAAAATCACGACCGCCAGACGATCAACCTGCTCTCCGTCATGCGTCCGTCCACCAGAGACGCCGTAGCAGCCTTGACTGCTGCATCAGAGAGCTGGATAACCTTCTTTCGCAGCCAACGGACTCGGGATGGATAGCGCTAGGTACTCGTTTAGGGTGGAAAGTTCGTTATCGACTTTCGTCCAGGTCAGTTGATTCGTTGTGTTCGTATCTTCCACGGCTTTAAAAAGAAGTGTCAGTTTTTTCTCGAGTATTCCGACTAGAACGGAACATTCGCACTGGTCTTTCCCACTCAGGAGTGGACACTTGGTTTCGTTTGAGGGCTTTCTTTTTTGTTGTGCAATGCATCTCACCCCTAACATAGTCAGCTGGCGCAGACGAATATCAAAGCACGACCACCCGGTACACCACGGGACCAGCGCAGACGAGCGGATGAGGAGTTAGCTAATTGGTCGTCCCACAAACCCGTACATTTAAAATGCCACTAGGCATAGAAGACATGACACTGCATTCCATGTCCAATATTCGATGGACAGCCGTTGTCTACATTTGTTGCGGCTCACCGTAGAGTAGAGCGGCCTGCAATAACCTGGCTGATGATCCGAAGCGGGTGTGCCGCAGAAATGAAGTGCAATCGGACAAAAGTTCTCACGCACATGTATTGTTAGAATGAAAAATTCAATATTATGACACGTTCAGTCTGTAAATAGCCAGCGGAACAAATTTGCACGAGCAAAAGGCGAAACCAACTCCGAACGTACCATGCATAATCAACGTTGAGTCTGATGTTTTAGAGACTCATCATACATCAATATGAATGGAGGATAAGAGCTCGGTGAGGATTGTCCCCGCCAATTTGACGTGGGGTAAAGATGCTGCCCCTCATAAAAAAACCCTCGTTGGTTCGTCTCACACACACGATCGTATAGTTATATAGAATCACTGGGTGGCGCTTTAGGTATCACTGGTTTGTCGACAACACCCACAGCGCGTGCATGTAAAACCGTGAAAGTCACCGGAAATTGCACAACAAAACCATTACATCTTGGGCAAACATAGAGTGTAACGGAAAAAACACTTGAAAACAATTGTACATAAGCCAACACAAGATGACAACTTTATCCAGTGAGCTAATCACAGTTCACAAAAATGAAAAATCTAAGGGTTGTAGCAATAGTGATTGTGGCCTGGCGGATTCGGCAGACAAACCAAACCCGGCTGACGAACGCGCAGATCCTGTCAAGAGGACCGACTGAGTTAAGTCTATGGATGTTTCCGGAGACTTGATTCCTGCTTCATTTCAGAAACTCTATCAGCCGCTCCATTAGAGATCCAGCGAGGGAAAGCACTATCTCCGCGAGGCTGGACAGAGGTTCCCCCACAACGCGTAAACCCTGGGTTCACGTTTGCATCGAAAAACTTTAACGGTGGGTATTAGGCGAAATTCCTCACGGATACCTCTATACCACCAGCAGTTATACGCCCCTAAGGCCGAGAAGTATCTCTTCGCATGGCTGGCCAAAAGCTTGGGCCACTTACCTGGCCGGCACCAAGGCGAGCTCTGATTGGACGAAAACCTGGACCAAACAGCCAACTATGACACAGTATTCGCCAGCCAGAAGGCATCAGAAAACCAAGAATGTTGTTGCGGCATACACTTTATAAACGTTATACCGTACAAGTGTTTCCGGTATGGTTTCGGGGGTCAATATCCGTTTTGCATCTGTGGTGGTTGTTTTCTACTGGAACGCTAGCTTACAGTGATCAGACCGAGAACTAAGCCGGGGAAAATACTACTACGGTATTGGTTAGGGAGGGAAATCGATGATGAACAACTGCTAGGGCAAATAGAGTTTCCTGGTTGTGTAATTCAAGGAATGGGACTTGTTTGATGTGTACGTGGTGTTTTGCACGTTTTTTGGTTCAATTGAAACATTACGTATCTTGTCATTCGCTTAACCATTTTATTTTTGGATGCGAAAGACCACAAAAATGCGCAATAGTACAATTTCGCGCAATACAAGCGTGGTAACGTGCTGCGATCTTCCCTTCCGATTTCGCTCGCGCTTGAAGCGGTCATTCG